CATCTATTTCAGTTATGCTGAGAAAACGCAGCCCTCATTCTCATATTATTTTTTTTTTAAACACAACTTTTGATCATCTTCTTCATTAGACATACTCATGCAGAGCAAGAAAAATTTTAACACAGTACATGACACTGCCTTAGGAAAAAACAAACAAACAAGATATTTAACAATAAGCACAATGGAAAAAATAGAAGTTCAGGCACACAAAGTGGAACATAAAGCTGTTGCATTTTATACCCCAAACAGGGTTGAGCTATTTAAATGGAATACACTTGATTTAAGAATTCAACAAAAATTGTTTAGCACAGAAAGAGGTGAACGTTCTCCATCTAAATTAAGAAAGTCTACAATATTTTGTAAACACAATTTATGGACAAAACATTTCCAAATAACAAAACATAGGTATCAAATTATCATAACAGTGGGCAATGACTAAAACCAAATACTGTGAAACAAGCACTTTTTTCTCAAACATATTAACTCAAAAACAGACTTTCAAATATGTTTAGTTACAACCAAATGATCGGTCAACAATACACACATCTAAGCTGAAGAAATTAAAATATTACCATACAGTTACAAATCATTTGTCAAAAACTATTTTGGGACACAGTCTTGCAAGGGTTCAAATCAACACAAACAACAAGCTTTCAGGAAACTCACGCACAATTCAATAATGTTGGGTACAGACAAAAAAGATACAAGCTGGTCCCTGGTCCAAACCTGCTTCCCAAGACAACTACTGGGACGTTTGGCTCCTTATCAAGTGATGGCACACATGTACCCCACTCATAAGCAAAGTAAAGGTCCTAAATTCGTTTTAAAATTTCACGTAATGCCTATATACATAAGACAGAATAAAACATTATTGTTTTCTGTCCTATATATATATATATATATATATATATATATATATATATATATATATATATATATATCCTGGATGTAGAAAGTTGGATCCGAGTCAAGAAACATACAGACGCTATGATGGTACATAAACGTGAAGTGGAATGAGCTCAGAATCTGATCAAACCAAATGTCATTGATGGATGACCAGACCAAAGGTCACACAGTGGCACCACTTTTGGCCCTGGAATGTATCAACACACAGAATCATGAAAATGATAAGTTAACTTGTTCTTTATGACATACAATTTACTGCAACAACTTCGGTCAAAATACTGTCCTCTTTCAATATCGTTTTACACCCAAGCACATACATGTTACATCATTGCACTGCGAATGGTCCTCATATGAGCGATTCAAAATGGAGGGAAAGATAGGAAGAAAACCCAATAATTTAATGACAGCATTCCATTCAAAAGTTCATGGGGTGTGGTGAGACAATATTTCAGCCCCGCGATTCCTATTTTTTTCGGGAAAAGCTGAAACTGCTGCCATACTGCAACATCCCAGATGGCAAAGATATAACAGAGAAGGAAAGAAATAGAGAAGGAGTAAGAAATTCAATTATGTGCAATGTTGAATGAGTTTATTGGAATGAGATGATAGGTGAGGGTGGTTTGAAAACACATTTCGTGAGGGAGCTGGTAGGTAAACTTTAAGCTGCATTTCCACTAATATCTTCGTGCCGTATCTTAACAAAAGAAGTATACATATCATATAACAAGTCTTTGGCCCCTCCGCAGATTCTACATATTATTCTACAACAGAGAAAATGAATTTTCTATAATAAATGCAATAGCAGCAGCATACTGGTAAGAGTTTTACAGCCCTCGCAACTGCATACCGTCATATGAGCACTCAACATACTACACAGGAAAATAGAATGTTTATAACACATTTCCAAGCAAAATATAAAGCGCACAAAATATTTTCCACTGTACGATTTTAGTTTACGAAATTAGTGGAAAACAGACCCAGGACAGCCTAGTGGCATTTTCCTCCCAAGTCCTGTCTATACACAGACACAAAGAAGCACAGGAATGGCCAATACTTCAGGATTTTGATCACTGCGAATGTCCTTTAAAGCCACAGGAAAGAAGGTGGTAAAAATCTCAATTTTAAAAAGTAAGTATCCGAATTGAAAACTTTTGGGAAAAGAGAACTCTTGTTTTTATAAATTTGATTTACTTTTTGAGAGTTGACGAAACTATACATAACACAGAGAAAAGTGGAAACAAAGACCACAATATACCAGAAAGAATAGCATCTTAACCCACAACCAAAACGACAAAAATTTTATACGACCCAAAAAGTATTCAGGCAAATTCAACACAACTGTTATTCATCCTTTTTTCTCTACCGAGACAACAAAATAATATTTTTCATACAAAAAAACCATTTTCACTGACAAATGTTCTTAACAAGTCATTCAGGCTAATTGTATTGATGAGAATGACTCAATTTGTGGTCACACAAACTGAAAACTGTAACATATGTGCAGAACACAAACTTGTCATTCATGCAGCCTGTATACAAAGTCCTTCCAAACTTTTTGGTGAAATTTCTTAACTGCAGTGTGACGGGGCAGACGTTTCAGAGTCCTGGAGTTGAAGATTTGAGTGTCTTAACCAGGAGCGAAAACACACATCAAAATAAAAAATTAAACCACCTCTCACTCCTTTTGTAGGAATATAAAGTTAAAGCATGAGAAGGATTGTCACCACCTTATCTACCTCAGTCCAAACCCTGCACACAAAAAGACACCATCCACCACAACTTTTGCTAAAAACACTGGACAGATCTCACCAGAATAGCTTGATAGTTAAACACAAACAATTACAAAAGAAATGGGCACATCAAATAAATAAAATAGATCACATAAGTTATAAATGCCTATTTTTTTTAACCGCCATAGTATATAGTAAAATAATACATGTTTTCTTTGCATAATGCATGAATTAAAACATTTGAGCATCTGTGAATCAATTATTGGTGTTCATATAACAACAAATGTGTGGCTTGTGAGACTGATAAAACTCAGTCTCACAGAATGTTCCTTTCTCAGTTTTAGGGATCCTCTTGTTCCATCTGGCTTTCACATCACTATCGAGCACATGACGTTCATCTATCAAATACGAAATATTCAAATAAAATAACACCCTCGAAGTCTTGACACTCACTACATCATCACTTTACCTTCCTTAACACTGCACTCAAAATCAGCAAACAAAGACATGAAAACAGATCAGAACATACAGCCCAAATTTACAGTCTTTGATTTCACTACCACAGGACCACTGCTTCTTATCGCAACAACAACAAAAAAAGGTGGCTATATATGGCATCACACATGTGTATAATCATTGTGATTTCTCAGAACAGATCAAAATCAGTCTAGATAAAGTGCATAAGCACTGCGAAACTTTTATTATTAACATCACAGTGATAGTTCCAACTTTGTAAGTCACACGCCGCTTCAATTTTATCCTAATTACTCCAACATGATACTATAAATGCAGCTCAGCCAACAAATCTGTTACAAATATTTTGGATCGAATACAATATTATTCATTTTTCGGTAAACTTAAAGAGGGTGGCAACAGCATTTTCCATCCTTGAGGTCGGTTGCTAGTCACGAGATTTGAAAAGCCAATCTGAGGCTGAAGGGCTAGAACTCAGATGGTCGCCGGATCTGGCAAATCATGCATGTACCTTTTACCAATTTTGTCAAAATGTAGTTCTTCGTATGCATTTCAGCTCAACTATAGCAATTACGTTGACAGACAAGTCAAAGAAATCATATCTTTTTCACCTGAAACTGCCTGGTACACAAGCAGTCCTTTGTACAAGACGAATGCTGAGAAAGGAGAAAGTAAAGACTAATTCACAAAGGAAATGCAGAGATAGAAGAGAGGAAGGCCAAGACTCATTCACAAAAGAATTACAGTCGAACCTGCCCTAACCGCCACCTGTCCAAGACAATCACCTGTACAAATTACACCACATTTCCCACTTTCCCTCGGTTTTTTTTCGGTTTTTTCTACATTATAATGTTCAAGACGTCCACCTGTCTTAGACAACCACTTTTCCCCTCAACAATGGGTCGCCGTCTTGCACAATTTCAACTGCAGTTTGAGGGAGGGTGAAGCAGAAAAACAAACCAAAGTGAAAATGACTCGACAAACCGTCAGTAAAAAGTAGCTGTCGCATCTCCGACGAGAAAATTACGCACTTGTCCCAACAAACACTGTTCATATGCACTACAGAGGCCACACCCACATTTCGACACCTTTTCAACAATATCTCATGACGAGGAAGGTCGGCCTACGACTAATGTATTCAACTCACAAACACATACACAATCCGAACAAGGAGTGTTCTCATGACTGGCTAAAGTTTCTGCTAGTAATTCCCTAAGTTGCACAGAATGCCTTTGTCATACACATTTCACTCAGTTTGAGACATGATTCACCATAGACATGATCAACCTTCTGTGAGAATCTGTCAGAACATTCAGTCAAAGTGTAGACACTTTGATTTAAATAACCAGAGCATCCATTTAACAATAGCAAACAGTTCTAACATTTCAACAAAAAATAGTGACTTAAGACTTATTTCAAAATTTAAGACCTGGTCAAAAGTAATATACAGCAAAGCCTTTAATTTTTAAAGTTATCTTTGACAAGGAATGACTTTTTATCCAAAATTTTGTGTAAGGGATGCTATGCTCACTTATTCAATAGTCTGCTTAACACATCAATATTGGATAGATGATTTTCTCTTTATTAACTGGATTTCAAGAACATTTCTGAATATTTTATGTGGCTGCTTCTCTATCTGTGACAAGCCAGACACCGGGTGTGTATATTATGTATCACATGACAGACGTAAACCTCTCACCATATTTCCTTGGGACAACAGCGTTCAGGACATATGGAGTGTATAGCAACTTCAGGTGTATGGCTACTTAATAACTTGATCATTAATGATAAAATAGCATCTGTATAGCTCAAATTACCGCTCAACAGTAAGCTCTACGCGCTTTACAATCTATTCTATTACCTCAGCAGACGTGATAACATTCTGAAACAATCTCAGCTTCCTGTGAAGCATACAGTGCAAGCTGCCATTCTACAGGCGCTAAAACACTAACAACAACAAAATATTCTTTACGTTCCATCTATCAAAGCAAAGTAACAAAGTCCCAATCATGCTGCATTTTCCCATACTTTCTTCCATATCACATGATCCAAGGATAGGTAAATCAGACCGTATCTTTCGAGTCTAGGTTGTGCTCTATGTAAAAGTCACTGATGACACACAAGACACGGTCGAGGTGCGACACAAATTCCTCAATGTCCGACATGAGCACGTGTTCAAACTGCCGAGAGGTCACATCAACAGACTCATCGGCTGCCAGATGGGTGATGAAATCTTCACGGTACGGAATCGCCTTCACTGCAACCTAGGGAAGACAAGATATAGGTCTCTTTGTTTGATAGAAGCATATAGACACAGTAAAAGACATTAAGTGCTAGGAAAAAAGCAAGACTGATAGACAGAAACATCAGAGAAGACAAAGGGCCTACAGGTGGCACTCTCCACACACCTAGGGTATGGGTTGCCAAATTAAAGAAATTTACACACGAGCGTGCCAATATCATTTTTAACACTTTGAACCCTTGCACCGGAGGCACATAAAACTGCTCATATGCCTAGCCACCGGTGTAGAGGTGGGTGAGACCCCATCAATTACCCTGCCCACTTGAGACAAAACATGTACGGAAAACAGCGTTCACTACACAAGACATTGATTATTTTGAAAATCTTTCTGATTTAGATGCTGGTAATGACAAGGATTACCCTGAGTGGGATATGGAATGTGATTCTGACGACCATATAAATGTTAGTGATATATCGCTCAGGAGCTCAAGCAGAAGGGCACGGTAGTCTCAGGAGGTCAGAGCTCAAAGGTGTAAATAAATATCAATCTGAAATATGCAATACAATATAGGCCAACTCAGCAGGCCAACAGTTTTCCTTTTAACAAATCTGCAATATTGGAACTATGAAGACATTCAAAGTTGTTAAACCCAATTCATTAAAATCCTGGAGATATCTCTCTTTAAGAGTTTTGTCTTCTCTTGTTCTTATGAGAATAACGCTTAGAACTTCTCAAAGTTTTGATTTAGTAGTTGAATCCTTTCTTACACATCCTGACAAAACACAAAGAAAGACTAACAGACAATTTCAAACTTTCATCAGGTGCCAACTGGCTACGAAAATAATCCTGAACTTTTCTGAGCCCATAGAAATGAGAGCAAAGGTTTTCAAAATTTAGAGATTGAATTGTCCAAGGCATCTTGTCGTGATTTGATTTTATACTTCGCAATAATCGTCTTAAAGCCGGCAAAAATCAGGATAATTTCGTGAATCTGGATTTCTTGATTTATCTAGAGCAAAATGGCACCTCTAAGGAGAAGATGCAGGATGTAACTCACAGCAAACACTCCCCTGACCACCCAGCCATGGTAGTTCTTCAGCGTCCGGCTGTAGGCGTTGCTAGCACACACACTCAGGTCAGTGCTACCTGAACTGCACTCTCGGAGAAACTCCCGGATGAACTCCAGGCTTCTGTGGACAGAAAAACATTCAGCTTGTAGGGATATTCAAATACAGTTGAACTTCTCCAAGACAACCACTCACTGTTGAAGGGAATTTTTTTTTTTTTAAGTGTTTTATGGCGCTCGCAACTGCATAAAGTCATATGAGCTTGCTGAACATGTTAAACATTTTCAGCTGATAGGAAAGTTTGAATTTTGCTCGGATGGCGGCTAAACCCAATTTCTATAGATTTTGGACCACAAAGGGATCTTTAACGTGGGCAACTTGAACATGGGACCTTCAAGATTTTTCGCCCTTAACCGAGAAGGCTAGGTGTAGATCTTTCTTACCATAAGATTAAAGGTGTGGCTGAAAGACAGTAGTAAGAAGGAGCCAAGGGGTAGCAGTAGAAAGGCTGCAGAAAAAGTCAGTAGCCCAGAGGAGGGGGCAAAGAAGGTGAGGGGGTGAGGGCAGAAAGTGGAGAGAAAAGCAGACGATAGAACATTGTTAGAGAGCAGGAAAGGATGTGAAAGGAGAAATTTTAAAGAAGTCGCTATCCTGATTTGAACTTGTGGCCTATTGAATAAGGGGCGAACACCTTAACCTCTAGACTATGAGAGCCCCCTGGAAGGAAATATTTCTGTCTTAGACAGGTGGACGTCTTCAACAGTGTCACTATAATATAGAAAAACAGGGGGGAAAAATATTGCAGTACCTCATTTTTCATGCAACAGCAATTAATATAGGCATATTATATGCCAAAGAAGAGGCTGCAATTGTTAAAATGAAATTTTAAAAAACACCTTTATAAAAGATTGTCTGTGGAGACACTCAGTTTTGCACAAAGTGAATATTTTTTAAACAAAAACAAGAGTCGAGTTTTCATCACTTGACATTTCATAGCACGAAAAAATCTGCACACCATTGGAGTCTAGATGGAAGAGTCGCAGTTCCATTCTTATTCATAAAAGCCGAAATCCATTTGCATGTATAAAGTTGTACGTTTATTATTTTGGTAAAAAAGGAAGAGGATACACAATCAGCATATGTAACACTACAATGGCTCATATTCTTTTATACTGTTTCTTTCCTTTACAGAGAAAACATTTTGCTGAACACGATTCCGATCTTTATATAAAAATAATTCATCATATTCTAAACAGGGTGCACAAAAGTATGAAGCCAAAAGATTTGAAAAACTAATCCCTGTGCATGAAGTTTTCCAAATTTGACACTGATTTGTGTGTGTGTAAAAAAAAATTGAGTAGCTAAATTTTCTTACAGCAGTGGTGATACATTTTTATAAATACATCCTTCCCTTTTTTTTCCTAGACCCCCATCCTTCTCTTCCGCCAACCCAAAAACTGCAGCGATCGTACCTCTTCAACCAGAGTAGAGCGGAGGTGGCACTGTTGGAATGTGTGTGTTGCTGGGCCTGGACTTCCTGCAGCACCATGGACTGGAGGGTGGTGAAAGTCTCCGGGTCACTTGAGTATTTCTGATTGATTTTCTGGTATCACAAAGAGAAAAACAATATTCAGTATAACACAGGTAGGTCGAACACAGAAGACTCGAAATCCCACATCCAAACAGTGCATGCAGTCCCGTTTGTTTTGTTTTTTTTCTTCTTTATATTCTTTATGGAACACTGATGTCCATATTCTATCATTCAACCATAGAAAGTAGGATCAATTTTTGTATAACAGCATGGGCCGGAAACACAAGACAACAAGATAAAGAAAAATTAAATCATGTAATTATGGAAAGCATGTAAAATTTCAAGATCTACATTCCCTTACTTGGATGAATTGTACATAACAGCTAGCACCAAAAAATTTATTCCACCGTTTTAGACAACAAACATCCCTTGTTCCCTCAAATAAAAACATCAGTCAGAAGTAAAAAACCTACGCTTTTTATCTGTAACAAAGAAAGATATAGAAGGTCATTTTAAATTTTTACTATCATCAATCAAAATTCTGCCATCTTAACCATCTTGTTATAAGTATTTATATGACCTTAGAGCATGCATCAGAATAACATTGAGTATGTATCTAGCCTAAGATTATTATTGTTTATATTGCTCTTCATATATATATATATATTTATATATAATGTATGTGGACAATAAAGATGTATTTTATCTTATCTATCTATCTTATCTTGTCTTCGTAAGATATCCCTCGAACTACCGAGACCAGTCCCGATGAATCAGAGTTATCCGTGTTATACTGTCGTTTTTTTTAAAGTTATTTCATTTCTTCCCCTTCAAAAATTCTAAGCCAGGGTTCACAATATTATGTCAATATATGATAGCACAAACTTTGGGCGAGAGCTAAGACTTTCAAAAAAAACTTCGAAATTTTATATTCTAATACAAAGAGGAATAGCTCACCCAACCATGTGTTAAACTAAAAAATCTCTTTAAACAAAGTTGATGGCTCGTTCAGAATGTTATAAACTTTTATATATGAATGCATCATAAAGAAGAAAAAAACAGCTTCCCTCTTAAATTTTAGCTTTATCTTCAGGGAATCTAATAAAAGAACATACTAAAACTCCCCTGATTACATTACTCATTACAACAGAGTTCACAATCCAGAATACCAAGAAAAATAACAACACAATAGTTTCCATTTTCGACTATATAAAGTCTGGTCTTCTGTTCTTTCCCTTTGCCCTTGGCGACATCATAAAAATGTGTGTAACTCAATTCCCTTATGTGCCTATAAACATTAATCACCTTACATAGGTGGTGACAAAAGGGTTATTGATAACTAGCAGATTTTATGTGACAATTTGACATTGGCCGTCTATTACTGAAGAGATGCACAAGATACTTAAGTCCATAGCCATTCAACAAAATTTCTTAGTGTGTTAATTAGCCCATTAGTATTACATAAAATCTTGCTGTTTTGGGGGTTTTTTTCATTAGCTATCAAGCCAAAGAGTGTCATAGAACAAGGCTGAATAAATGTGTCATGAAAACACAGTTACAAGACAACCGAACAATCGACTATTACAAACTTCAGGGTTTAAGTTATCTTTTGTAAGTCACCTTGATCTCAGATTAATTCAATGCCTTCCTAGTCACATTACATAGGTAGGGTCCACATTTTTTACTTTACTGGCTTTTTGCATCTTGAGAGACAATCTTAAAGCAGTATGTATGATTCAGCTTTGCGTGGGCAGTAGACATAGAGGAAGTAGATCACTAAGCGCTACTCCCCTCCCTTCAGATCTTGACTTCCTTGACACACTCCAAAAGAGAAGCATGGTCAATATGTTTGGAATCAAGAAAGAGGGTGTCTCATTATATTACAGGTGTGACAGGGTCCACACGGCGGTCAAATAAATAGGAAAAAACATGTGGGCATTTCCTCAAAAAAGTCACTACAGCAGATGGTGGTTTTTGAGGTAAGTTTCCTGGGCACACAAGGTATCAAAAAGTGTGGATTAAAAGCAATCAAACTATACTTACTCTGATATTACCAGTGAAGTCCATCTTCACAGGGGCAAATGCTGTTCCATTCAATTTATCTGAGGAAAGACAGGGAAATGACATCAGGTGATATCAAAGAAACAAGTACTGTTTATAGAACCTATGGAATAGTTAATTCAAATAAACTAGTAGTAACAAAATGTTCCATGACTAAAATGTACAAATTCATAAAGAGGCTCTTCTTTACAAAAACAAAACTTAACTTTACAGGATTCTTATCAAAATTCACAAGCATAACTTTGAAATGATTTGTAACATTTTGTCTGTCACAATTTTGTATACTGGTATCTCAAAAAAAGACTCAATTTCATGACTACCATCCATCCTATCAACTGACCATGATAAAATAAGGGGTTTTCACTCACCAAATATTAGAGCCAAGTTTCTACATGCATCTAAAAAGGGGTTGACCAGAATCCCACTCGCCTGACTCGTATCTATGTGAGAAAAACTGAAACAAACAAAAATCCAAAAGTGAAATTTGCATCTACTGCAGAAGTACTTCACAAAAGAAGTAATAATTTGCACAAAATATGGAGAGGCAAAAAAGTAATCATCTATAAATCAACCAGAGAATAACCAACTCTTTAATAACATGGTGGATCATTATAACAATAATGATAATGTCTTTAAAACTTTATCAGTTTGATCTACAGTTTCACTGATAAAACGAGAAAACAAGAAAATTCAATCTTTATTAATTATTTGGACAGCAGATGAATGACAGGGAAAGATCAGGATAAGTAGCTTTTCTGAGAGCATACAAGCAAACGAATGAAAGGAGAACCATATTCACCGATGTCTGTCGCAGGTCTATCACTTGATGATGATTAATTATTTCATGAAGTCAAAACATAAAATATAACTTGATTTTCTCATCAGTATACGTTAGTTAAAATCACTGTTAACAGGATTTACCACTCTCGACTCACTTTGAGGGCATGGTGGAAAAAAAAGTGGAAATGGTTCCATCTATGGCATCTTTGAAATCTTCCCCGGCCAAATCTTCGGACGAAGCTGCAGCGGACAAAACAGACGGGGAGGCCAGGCCTTGACCATCTCCCACAGTCAGCTCACCGCTCTTTTCAGGCGGAGCAGAGAGTCCATTCACAACACTCGAGGACGACAAGACCTCCGACGATAGCGGTGCTTCCGACGATTTGGTAGGTGTGGCATTCGTCGCTGTCACACCCACGGGCAAAGGGGCAGAGCTACCTTTGGATGTCATGGCAGAGGAGGAGGAGGGGGAGGGGCTTGAGTTCTGGCTAGACTGCTGAACGCCAACAGGTAAGGGACTCAGGGGTGGTGTGTCTTTGTTCACAGGAATCCCGTTAAAGGAGGAGGATGAGTGAACTTTGATACCATCCGGGGAGCCATTAGAGGTCGTCTGTCTGCCTCGAGACATTCTGCAAAAGAGTTGTGACAAATTCTATCACTCAAATGCATGGAGTTAACATTAAAACACACAACAATTTATTGGCTATATCTTAACAAACTCACAGAGGCAATTTCTTTCTTTTTTTGTTCGAGTGTAATGCCTTCTACAACAATAACAAAACTAATCTAATCTGAAACTCGAGTTTTAGACAATGTTTTAATATTTCAAATAACTAATTCCATTATAGGGACTGAAAAGTTTAAGACCACAACAAAGTTACACTCTTAACCCCATCCTTACTGGGGCCTTAGTGGTTAAGTCGTAAATGTACCAAGGATTTTAAAAAACTAGAAATATTGGGGAGGCAGACTCTTAAATGGATGGTACATGTACTAGGGTGTGTTCTTGATGAAGGCATTTACCCTTGCTCAAAACAAGGTTCTGTACTTTCATGACCAGCAACGGAACAAGTGTACACAAAAGGATCAACATTCACTTTTTATTTATTACATTACACTCTGTGAATGCTTATGTGTACATCAGAGCAAAGCAAGCCTCTGCAAAGACACATGAAAGTGTCCTTATATTTCTTTTCAATTCAAATAAGCTCATACTTTGATCCTATAATCCTTCCTATCATTACTTACTTTTCTGATGGAATGGGCCTTGTAATGGTTGATCTTGTTCCCTATGAGATTGAAGAAAAGAAAGGTTGGTAAACAAAGGCATCAAAAGAAGATAGTGTCAAGAATGCAAAGAAAAATTACTAATCTTACTATGAAAATGACCTTATCAGCTCCCAATTTTCTTTCTCAGGGGAGAAGAAAAAATGTATATACCTAAAATTTCTTTCATCAGTAGTGGAGAATTTAATGTCAGCACAGTCTGCTGTACAGTCTAAACAAGAGATGATGCTGAAACACTGAGCTGTGCTCAATGAAGCACACTGCTGAAGAATGAGCATTGTTCAATATACTTCAAAGAATACAATAACAACATGCCTTTAAATAGCAGTATACACTTCATCATTACATTTTAAAGGCATGAAAAATAATATACAGTCAAACCTGTGTAAGACGGCCACCCATTGTCAAGGAGAAAAGTGGCCGCATAAGACAGGTGGCTGTCTTAGGCAGGACTGATCAAGATGAAGAAAACAAACAATTCCCATCTAAAGTCCCCATCAAAAGTAGCCGCATTGTTGTTGTTTTTGTTGTTGTTGGTTTGTATTTTGTTTGTTATTTTATTTTGTTGCTGATTTTGCGCAAGGGTGACAATAAAACGAAATGTGTCAGATGTCGAAGTCCGAGTGCCATGTTAAAACAAACACATGGGTCTCCACCAATCAGAGAATGAGCGACGCTTCTGTCGCAAGTACATGTTGACATCCATTTTTACTTTGTTACTGATTGGGTAAACAGTGACCACTCATCTCACGTACGATTTGTGTATGAGTTCTGGGCGGGGCTTATGGGTTATGAGGGATCACATGCTTACCTCACCAGCAGCTGAAACTTGGTACCTATTGATCAACAGTGGGAGGGGTCTACGTAACATGATTGGTTGGAGGGACTACCTAACAACAACGACAAGTGATTGGATTCTGACGGCTCACCCACAACGCCAGGGCCCAGTGCACAATTTATGACAAAACGTAATGGAGTCACCAAGGTGGCCGTCTAAGACAGATGTTATTTTTTAGTGTGATAGGGGTTGTGTATTAAAATATGGTGGCTGCGGCCGCGTTGGACAGGTGCCCTTTTTACACAGTTAAATTATATAGAAAAAACGCAAGGGGGGAAATGGAAAGTGTCCGTTTGTACAGGTGGCCGTCTTACAGAGGTGGCCGTCAGGGCAGGTTTGACAGTACTAATGGCCAGAACTGTTAAAGTACTTTTTTAAAAGTACCTAAGAACAAATTTAAGTACAATCTAAAAAATGTACTTAAGCACAGTAAAAGTACTTGAGAGTACATTTTGAGTATTTTCTGCTAATATGCTAAAACACTTCAGTGCTAATGCAAAACATCACATTGAATAACATATCCAGTATATTTGACAAATTAGGCCATTTATTACTAAAAATGTAAACAGTATGCCAAACCAAACAAACAGACGCAACTAGTGGGTAAGTGATATTATGAATAGAACTTGTTTGAGCAAGACAAAGTGATCAAATGTAAGTCAGTCCAAGAGGTCGGAAAGTTCTACAGGAGCAGTATCCAAATTGGAAAATGTAGATACAAAGTTGCTCTTAAAAAAACATAAAATTGATGAAAATGGCCAGCATAGAAATGAAAAAGTGCATTGAATTCTTCATTAACAAATCCTCAATTCAAGGAATCAATGTAGCCTTCAGCAAAAACCACAAAAAAAAGTTTAAAAGAAATTTAGGTAGCCTAAAAAATTGTACATTGAGAACTCAGTTTCTATTTCAACTGATTATAGTGGTAAGACAGATTTTGGTCACACTGTGTAGTCCACGGCGCCCACGGCAAACCAAAATACATGCAGTCTCATAGAGTCTAGTAAGTGTATTTGTGTAACTTAAGATTCTCTACTACAGTAGTCTCTGCCCGAGATCCCAGAGCTCGGAAACAAGGAAAATACAGGATCTTCGCCGACGAAGCCAAGGAAGAATGTAGAGTGACCCATGAACTGACGTGACCCCTGGGTGGGTTTATGACATATGGCGAGCAAAGAGTGGTCAACCTTGATGACCAATCACAGTGGCATGAGGCATGCCATATATATACACTCATTAGCCTATCGTGAGTCTTGAGATTTTTATCTACTTTTATCCAGTTGCCCCTCCCCTTTACCTGTCCAACAATTTTAGTTTTCCATCTCTGATTGAGCCCCCGCGCTTTTGTCGTTACACACCATTATGTTGTGACCACACCAATTAAAATTCAGGCTGTCTCACAAATTCAGGAATAGAGAAGAACTGCTTTCAAAGGTCAGAGAAGAGTTCACAGTTCGATGTGATCCCGCCGGGAGCAAACTTGTAGGCCCTACCCACCCAGCGAGTGATGTAAGTTTCAGTGGCGAGCTCAGATAAGAGTGCGATGTTTGGTGAAAAGAAACGCATCAGTCAGTTTACACCTTGGTAAGATCCCGTCTGGGGCAAACATTGTACCGTTTCATGGAGTTTTACAAAGCTTGTGATCACATTCACGAGAGCGGCTGATCTTTGACGCGACGGGCCGTTCTTTGATCTCAACTTTTAACTCTTGGTTGATCGGCTGTGTCCGTCCACGTGTTTGTTCCGTAAATTTTAATCAGAAATGCCGGCACATACCCTTTTGTTAAGCTTCAAAAGTACTCAAAATGTACTTTAAAAATACTCAAGAGTACTTTTCTAAAACGTATCGGAGTACAGTAAAAGTACAGGTTCTAAAAAATGTACCGGAGTACAGTAAAAGTACCGAAAATTGTAACGTCTCTGCTAATGGCAGACACATGTCTTTTCCATAGTGACAAATGGAAATTAAAACATATAAAATGGCTTCACGAAAAAGAGACACACAATTTTAAAAGTCACATAAAAAAAACCAAAAAAAATAACAACCTTTTGAGTGGATAAGTTCTAAACTACAGTTACACAGTACAGTAGAAACTATTAAAGACAGCCGCCCATTGTAGAGGATATAAGTAGCCATATTAAACAGGTGGCTATCTCACACGGTGTCATAATAATGTAAAAAATAAGCAAAGAAAGAATTGAGAAGTGGTTTTTAGTATAGGTGCTCTTATACAGGTGACCCCTAGAGCAGGTTCAACCCTACCACGATTTCCACACTGAAACAATACTGTAGCAGACTAGTATTCCTGAGTCATAAAGTGTGTGTCCAGCATTGGTAAGCACTGACCGGTAATCTTTGCGCATTCGCTCGAGTTGGAGATGGTGGGATGGCAGCATCCCTGACATGTTGATGAGGTGATTCAAACATAGGAGTGTTCGCCAGCAGCTTCATACAGTCTTCCAAGGTGGTGATGAAAGTGTCACACGTTGCTCCAATCAGAGATGTGGATTCCGTCAGTTTCTGTAACACAAAAAGAAACAATCAACAGAGCCAGCAGCTTTGTGGGAAGTAACATGAATGACATAAGTAATAATAATTATACTTAATTAATCAATAATTTGTATAGTGCATGTTCCCACTCAAAAGCAATCTCTAAGCACTTTACTATCTATTTTATTACCCTAGAAGAGCTTATAACACTCAGAAACATTCTCTGTTATCCGGAGAGCATACAGTGTAAGCAGCTGATTAAGCACTCAAATACCAACAAACTGACAAGATATTTAACTGTTTATAGCCGTATACCTATTCCCACACGTGAATTGAGGAAATATATGTAAAGGGCCTTTCCCGAAGACAGAAAATCAGGCCCCTAAAGGGGTTTAAACCAATGACTATTTGGTTGCGAAAATAACAGCCTAATTGCTAGACAACTGACGCCACATTATAATGTCTATGACTTATGAAAGAAAAGGATGGAGAGCCATAACCATCAAAGTCAGCTCCAAAGTATATCCCCACTCGACAGCAAGCTCTAAGCGCTTCACACTATATCATTATGTTTACCCCAGCAGACCCTAGAATTCTCAGAAACATTCTCAACTCCCCGTGAAGCACACAGTGCAAGAAGCTGATTAAGCACTCAAACACTAACAAACTTACAAAATCTTTCGCTGTCAATATCCATGCCCATCTGAATAAAGCGAGGAAATTTGGTAAAGCGGCCTTTCCCAAGGACACAACATCGAATCCCTGACAGCATTTGAACCCACGACCTTACAGTTGCAAGTCCGAGAGCCTTACCTTTAGATCACCGACACCACAGAAGCATACTTCTAACACTTTCTCTCAGAAATGAAAATGGGTTCTAGAAATGCATCGGCAGACATGTATCAAACTATACATCAATCTAAGGCTTAAGTTACCTCTGTGTCCACTTTTCCGTCCGTCACTTTTGCAGCTTCCTTCACAGAGTGAACTTGCTGCATGAGCAGGTCACAGTACAACCTCAGCTCAGACTTTTTGGTCCGCACAAGATCAGGCATAGCATCTGAAAGCACAAAAAAGGGGGTTTACTGCACTTACGTAGTTAATATAAAAGAATTAAGGGCCCTTAGTTATCTAAAACAAATCTTTGCCTTCAGTCAATATTTACTATTTGTGAATGTAAAGCAGAAAAGGCAATGTCTGGCTTCTTGTGCCATGTCTTCACATTATCTCTGTTAATATAAAGGTCATAGGTGTGGAAAAATTTTCACGACACTAAACGTGTGTCTAACACTGATCGCCAGTCATTATGTGCTGAAGGTAAACCCTAACATGTAGCAGGACACATATGTCCCCCCCCCCAAAAAAAACCCTCTAGCGATGGAAGTCATAACAAAATATTTGCTATACTTATCGGAAATTCTGTGCTATTACTGTTTCAGTATAAGATGTAACAAAAACCCCCAAAAAAATCTTTATTCCATTATCCTTATTTATGTCTAAATTAACGTGACATCATACCAGCGTCTTTCCTTGCTGCGCTAGTTTCGCTGAAGGAAGCCTTTGAGCTGCCAAGGGCTATGAGCCATGACTGTCGGTCCTGTGGCGTGCTGGCCTTGACATAGTAGTGCTGTTCCCCAGGGATGATCAAGTCAAGCCTTGTCATGTCTGCTGGGTGCACTGCAAGAAAAGGGAATGATCTTAGTAACTGTAAGGTGACATTTACTTCTTTCCTCTCACCCAGTCCTGACATGTTTTTCATGTAAAAGGGGAGGGGTTTTTTGTTGGGTTTTTTATCTTTGGTAAGTGTTTTACTTTGCTTGCAACTGCATAAGGTCATATGAGCGCGCAGGACACTTTAAACTTTTTCAGTTGGTAAGAAATTTTTAATTTTGCCCGGGTGGCGACCGAAGCCTACTCTTATCAATTTTAGATCACCAAGGGATCTTCAACGTGTGCAACTTGCACACGGGCCCTTCGAAATTTTTCACCCTTGTCCGAGAAGGCTAGGGGTAGACAGGTGCTCTGGTGTGGTTTGCTTCTTCTTTCCTATCAAACATCTATCGTCCTTATCTCACCTCCTTTTTTATGTCTGTTACTCTCTTGTAACACCTCTAATCTTCTGGCGCTCATATGACCTTATGCAGTTGCGAGTGCCGTAAAACCTCTACTAAAAAAAAAAAAGAAGATCAGGGGAGTGACTGAAAGGCTGCAGAAAGAGTCAGGAGTGGCTGAAAGGCTGCAGAAAGAGTCAGGAGCCCAGAGGTGGGGGGCGAAGGAGGTGAGGGGGCAGAAAGAGGAGACGAAAGCAGACGACAGAACATTGCTGGAGAGCAGAAAAGGAAGTGAAAGGAAACAATTTTAGAGAAGAAAATTTTTCGGTTGCTACCCGGATTCGAACCCGAGACCTTTGAATGAGAGGTCAACACTTTAACCTGTAAGCCACGAGAGCCCCCCATGTAAAAGGGGAGTCACTTTGCATAGAATATGTAACACTGAAAATAAGTACAATGAGAAGACCACACTAGAGCATTTACCAACCAACATGCAACACTTGAAGCAGCAAAAAAGATACTTGTGACACTTGAAGCAACAAAAAATATTTTTCTAATAAAGACTTTCACTACCTACAGTAAAACATTGGGTGGGAAAGCATGACGAAAACAGGAGGTGAATATACAAACAAAACTAATAATCACAAGGTCTGAAGTGTACATGCAAGAGGTGATAGGCAATCTCAAACCAATATACATCTTACTACTTCAGATTAATTTAAAATCTAGAATAAAGCATCAGCTCTTCAAATCCCTTGAAAAGATTCCATAGCAATTTTAACACTAACCAACAACTTTTTTGTAAATTTATAAAAATTACCGAAATAAAGAGACTTCTGTTTCTCCTGTATAGAATGGACATGGTTGATAAAAATGTTAAAATTGAAAAATAATGAGTATTGTTTTGGATTTTGATAGAGGTCAGAAACAAAAATAAATCTTTAAAAATGTCAGCCTCAACACTTGCTACCTTCAAGCACTAAACCCAGATACTCTTTAGGTGAAAAAAGAAGTCAGAACTTTATGCTTTCTTTCTTCCAATTCATTCCATCATGGAAGAGCAAAACATTGCAGTATTCACTCTTTGCATTCTAAAGAACATACCCACAATGTCACACACAGTCATCTTTATGGAGCCTTTACAACCATTGTTCACATCTTCCTGAGATTTGTAGTAGGACAAAACACCATTGTCCAATATGAACCATCGAGGCTGCCATCCTGTAAAAACGAAACAATAGCAATCATAAAATCTCCATCAATCCTGGAAAAAAGTTACCATGGAAGTGAACATAATTGTCACTAATGGCTCAGCAATACATAAGGCCAACTTTCATTGTTAGAAATCACTGAAGATTTTACCATTTTGATCACCTTTGGTTTTGTACACCTTTTCAGGGAAATTCGCCTCTATTGTCGGGAAACTTCCCCACGCAGGTCTATTGATTTTCCATTTGTTGTTTTACTTTGATTTACCACTTTTATTAAGGGGGAAAACAAAGAAAAGAATCAATAAACAAGTATACGGGGGCTCTCGTGGCCTAGAGGTTAAGGTTTTGGCCTCTCATTCAAAGGTCCCGAGTTCGAATCCGGGTAGCGACCGCAAAATTTTCTGCTCTAAAATTGTCTCCTTTCACCTCCTTACCTTTCCTTCTCACTAGCTATGTTCTGTCGTCTGCTTTCCTCTCCTCTTTCTTCCCCCACCCCCTCACCTCCTTTGCCTCCTCCTCTGGGCTCCTGACTCTTTCTGCAGCCTTTCTACTGCTACTCCTTGGCTCCTTCTTACTGCTGTCTTTCAGCCACCCCCTTGATCTTCTGAGGAAAGATCTACACCTAGCCTTCTCGGAGAAAGGCGAAAAATCTCAGAGGGCCCGTGTGCAAGTTGCGCACATTAAAGATCCCTTGGTGATCTAAAATCGATAAGAGTAGGCTTCAGCCGCCACCCGGGGAAAATTATAAATTTCCTACCAACTGAAAATGTTAGGTGTGTCCCACGCGTTCATATATGACCTTTTGCAGTAGCAAGCACCATAAAACACTTGGCTACCAACCCACCCCCCCCCCAAAAAAAAAACCCAAGTATACTTAAACTTTATATAGAGTTTTGGAGAAAGTTGTTGAAGCTGTTTAAGGTAGATCTAAACAAAGCTGCTTTGGGGCAGCCCGAGAATTAAGTGTTCCCAGAAAAACTCTTGCCGACCATGTCTCAGGTCGATCAACTTTTGGAATGAGGGCTGGGAGGGAGAGAAATAAAATTATTGAAAAAGTGATTGCAGCTGAAATGCACGTTTCCCTTTAACGAAAGATCAGTTTTTACACATGTTTAATAATCTACATAGGCCTAATAACGAAATTTATTAAGAAGATCTCCCAGTATGGTGAATTTCCCCTCAAGGACTGGCGACGTTCCCCGTCTCCAAATGCACTTGAAAAAAGAACGAAGCAGCTGAAGAACAAAGCATCAAGACCAAGCAAACCAATCAGTCGACTATCTGCAATTCTTCATTGGCTACGAAAAGTTGCAGACGAAACAGGGGTCATAAATAACGTTGAGCATAGAAGAGGGGGTGGTGATCTTATACTTTAGCACGTTAAATTCCCAAAGTCTACTAGATCTAAACCCCGACTCAGACCTTCAAAACTTTGAACTGAGCCTAAAAATGCGTAAATAATTTTGTCACGAACAGATGGTATAACAGTGGTTTTCGGTCTTCCATCATGATTTTGGAAGCCATTAGTATAATCTGGAATAGGTCGACCTTGTTTTAAAGTGGTCGCTCGTTACGGAAAAGGGAATAAATCAATTGAAGAATTTAACGTGCTAAAGTATAAGATCACCGAGGCGGTGTAGCCTAGTGTAGGCTAGTTTTGTCGCTAGCTAACAGAGTGCCGAAGTTACCCCACTCTACTCTAGTAACTTATGACAACACAACAGAAACAGCAGATCTAGATCTAGATTAGATATCTAGATCTAGATCTAATAGTTTATCTAGTAATAGGCCAACTCAGTCTTTAGACACTTTAGTGTAGCTGTCCAGCAAGTGCAGCAACTTTGCAAGGGCAAGAAGGGATACCTGACCATGGCCATTCCACGGGTTTTTCCAAAGAAATATACTAAATGCACCATAGAGACACGGGATCTTAGCCTGTATCTTCAACAGAAACCATATATCACTAAAGAAACTCAAAAATACGAGTGGGTGGGGCCAATTTTCGCCGGTCTGCTCGACAGCGGTGAGGTGAATGGATCTTCCAGATCTTCTGCTGATCGATGAGGAGTTTCGACATCGAAGACCAGAGATCCTACTTAAATACTTAACATAAAAGACAGGGAAATCTATTTCACAGCAGATACTTATCAGATATTTCATCAAACCAACACTTGTTATAACATCCTGTTCAACAAAAAGAAAGAGAGGCATCAAACGTATCATGCATGTCCCTACCTGAAAGGTAGTTGGTCCACTTCCATAAGACGCCCTCCATGTTTGTTGTGATATACGTCGACAAGTAGAGCTATGCATAGCACTCTAAATGCATGTAATTCTAAAATCAAGAAAAGACTTGGTGTTGCTAACAGGCTTGACCAAAAGATTATTTTATTCCGATAACAGCTACAAACGTTACATTTTTACTTGTAGTCCTAATTAAACATGAGTATTTTCGTATGATGGTATGATTTTTTTTTCAAGGACATTAAAAGTAATGGAGGATGCTCTGTGGGCGGCACCCTACGCCTGATAGGAGCCCTGTCTCGCGGCGGAACTGTGGGCTACCTGCGCGTGCGAATGCCCGACTAACGCACTGAAATCTTGTTAAGAAAGAAGGTTTTATTCCGAGGTCCTTGAGATTAGGCAAGTCAATTAGTAAAAATGCCTTGCACCTGTGTTGTATTTAAGTGTAAGAACCGATATGCTGCTGCAGTGGACCGAAATTTTCGCAGTTAAGTTGTTTTCCTTTTAAAAAATTTGAATTAAGAAAGTGTTTTTATGCCCCCAGCAACACAATTTAGATCATTAATATTTATAAGAGGCTGGCTCCGGGGCTACATGCCAAGGCCAACCCAGGCTGAAAGGGATACAACACCCCAGCAGAAAGGCCGAGATACCCAATTTTTTTAAAGTATTCTTATTCATAAATATATATATATATATAATTATTATGTGTAGGTATATATAATTATTATGTGTGTGTGTGTGTGTGTGTGTGTGTGTGTGTGTGTGTGTGTGTGTGTGTGTGTGTGTGTGTGTGTGTGTATACCTTTGTGTGTGCAAATTAGATGCTACTGTAGTCTAAATGTTGATATCTAGAGGCTCCATTAGAATATGAAATCAATACCCAACAACAATAAAGATGAATATTTTCTATGTTAAAGAAACACCAAACCATACTAGATGAGGGGAGAGGGTAGGGTGGGGTGGATAAGAGTTTGAGTCTTGTTAGATAAAACTATACTCGGTTTAATTCTATTGTTGTAGTCTTCACCTAAGATCCCACAATCAATAATTCCGGTTCACTTAAGATTCTCCTGTTAAAAAAATAAACCACGTTACTCTCCATATCATACTTTACTGAACAAACAAAAACACAAAAAAAACCTTCAAAGGTCATGCACGCTCATGCATACGATCACACCTCCAAAGGTGCTGTTATCTCTTTCTTTTTTTTAGATATTTGAAATCATTGTGCGCTCCTCTTCGTGAAAACCAGGAAACAAAATTATTGTAATCAATAATATTATTATTTATAGACCAAGACATACTTTTAGCAATCTGATAAAGCTGGCATCGACCCTCTTTTGTGTCCGCTATTCCTTACACATAAAGTTAGTTATGGCACACGCCTAGAATCATGCAATCATATCTTAAATTCAGTTTAAAAGTATATTTTTATCCATTTCTTATAATTAAATATTTTAGCATCTTGAAAGATTATCTTTATAATTTGGTATGTTTGATAATTGTATGTTACTCGTACAAGTTTTGTTCTTATTTTACACATCTTTTTGATTTTTAAACTAGATTATAACATAACACTCTTAAAGAATTGAAAAGTCCGTATCACACACAGAATTTTTTTTTTCTCCCTGTCAATATCCGTCAGCCCGTCAGTTGATCACAATCTCTCTTTCTCTCTCTCTCTCTCTCTCTCTCTCTCTCTCTCTCTCTCTCTCTCTCTCTTATTTAATTTTTCCCATTCTCCTTCGTCCCTTCCCAAGGCCCGCCTCTCCTCTTTCATACCAGCCCCATCCCCTCTTCCTTGCGTGCATTCCCCCACCCCGCCCACCGCCACAACGTGGCCCAGCCCGATAAGATTCTATAAAAAGAAACGCCACAGTTTGTGATTTAGCCCACAGTCGGCGGCCATAGTTGGCGACGCGAAGAGAGAGAGGAGGCTCCATTAGTTCCAAGCTCCTTGGTTTTTTACTCGTACTTTTGTACTTTTGTGTTTGTTTTTCTTGCATTTATAAATCTATACTTGAGGGTGGGCATGAAATCTGTACACCATCTAAGCAATGTAACCTCATAGGGAAAATTAATTTTAGCATGTTGACTCACACCTTTGATTTAGATCAATTTTGAGAGGTTTTTGTCGATGGCACCTTTTTCTGATGTACCGGTACCGTGAAAATCAAGGATGTTTTTCACGTCTCTGAACCCTTCTTTTCACAGATTTCCGGGGGGAAAAAACATACTTTTGAGAAAGCTTAAGCATCGGATACAATCTTTTGCTACTTGGCATTTATACTTTGCATTTTTTCTCTATTTGATGGCATGTATGTAAATAATAACCAAGATTATGGTGGAGGCATGCGTAAGGATACATGTAGCCTAAATATATGTAGCCTACTATAATAGGCCTTACGTCTATGCTTTCTCAGTCCTAAGCCAAATAGCCCGCACGACTGGCCTCGGCATTGGAGGCCGGATATTTTTCGCGCTTATCTTGATAAGCTCGCCTCGGGTCCAGTCCTTATCTTATCGAGGTTCAATGCGAAAAACGGCCATTAAATGCGAAAAGCGGCCATAAGCAGATGCTCTAATACTAATACGTATAATACAGGTGATGGAACATTCTTGCATTATACTTTTGCGTGCCTATAGTGTAAAGTGTGTAGTGTGTAGCGTCTTGTCTGTCTAATCTACTAGCCTCTTATCATTGTTTCATTCAGTGCTGTTGGAAGTACAGGTTCTTTTCGTTTGGATGTATTTTTACTATGAAAGTGGCTATTCTCACCCGCCCGGAAGTTCTCGCAAGATCAACTCCTCCCCTCTTCTCTCTCTCTCTCTCTCTCTCTCTCTCTCTCTCTCTCTCTCTCTCTCTCTGTCTCTTTCTGAATACTGTCTATCGGTGTGGTCGATCAAATTGACCAAAACAAAGTTTTAAAATGATGTTAAAACACAAAAGTATATTAATTTGGTTGTCTACAAAGATGCTACGGCTATTTAACTTTTCGAATCGAGCCGAACTACGCAGGTCGCCATTTTGTTTTGCCCGGAAATTCTCGCGCTACTCCTCTCTCTCTTTCTCTCTCTCTCCACCGCCCACAGACAAAATTGTACGCTTTTAGTAGGCTACAGTTGTAATGGAACGTTTGTTCACGGCACAGAATTCTACAATTTTTCTGTTATCACAGTGTAGAATTCTGTGGTTTAGGGTGAACGCAAAATTTGGTGAACGCGCACAATATATTTATATGTGTATATATATATATATATATATATATATATATATATATATATATATATATATATATATATATGTGTGTGTGTGTGTGTGTGTGTGTTTGAGTGTGTGTGTGTGTGTGTGTGTGTGTGTGTGTGTGTTTGAGTGTGTGTGTGTGTGTGTGTGTGTGTGTGTGTGTGTGTGTGTGTGTGTGTGTGTGTGTGTGTGTGTGTGTGAAATTAATTTTCTTTCGTATTTGTTAACTCTTTGGAGACGTAACGGACACATATGTCCGATTATTTGCAGAGAAAAGTAAAGATTTTGGCACTTTTTGAACCATCATACACAAATCAGAAAAATAATTTTGCATATATTTCACAGTATGCACACTATTTTAAGCCTTTTAACATTTCAGATAAAGGAAATAAAATAGAAATATATGTTTCACCGGTGAAGTTCTGCCTCAAAACAGAGAATCTCAAAGCCTTGGCGAATGACCAGAGTGAGTCTTCAATGAGTTTAAAACATGTAGAATGAGAATGATGTCTCTTGTATCGTTGAATAACAAAAGTTATCCCACTAGTGTGCCATGGTCTTTTTTGTGATAAAATGCGAACGTAATTCATTGTCATGTGACGAATCGATACGCTCTGTTACTGGTGTGATCTTCCTTTGTTATAATAGCCAATAAAACCTCACAAAAAAGCTGCAACAACAAAAATGCAATGCATTTAAGTAAGGTTCGTTGTAGGCCAGTCTAGTGAGTACAGTGCGAGAATGCACCAACGCATAGTCTATCGCCGCTTTTCGTATTGACCCTCCGGGAACGTGGTCGGCCTCCAATGCCGAGGCCAGTCGTGCGGGCTGTATGGTCTGAGAAAGCCTAGGCCTGCGTTCATAATTAGACCAAACTCTCTGGTTTGATCGTCAGGGCACCACAAATGATCCGACTTGGCAATCAGCTCCCCACACACTGCGATTGCATTCATGTCTCGTTCAGCTTCAGTCTTGTCCATTTTAAGATGTTTACTTTCTTCTCTTTCTTTGTCTGCCTCTCGTTCTCTCTCTTTTAGTTTTAATTTCGTCCTACGGGATAGATCTAGTCTTTACAAGCCCAATATTGTTGTCGTGTTTGCTTTGCCTCTCTTCATCGTGGCTTTGTTTTTCACTTCATCATTGTCTAAAATCTTTGTAAGCATCTCATCTGTGGAACATTTGCCGTCATTTCTATTTCTGCTTAAGGCCCCAAGACGCATAGACATGCAAGACTTAATTATTGTGGTGGCCAAGACGGACAGAAGACTAATATTGGAGCAGAATTGCCACCTGTCTCTCCAATGCCTTCCCAGACTGCGCCTGTACCTGACTGAAAATCCCCCTGAGACTCTGAGGGCGAACAAAATCTCGAATTGAGGTCGACTGGTCACTGTCCGACCGAGCTGTTCCTGATGTTAGAATGGTCTTTCGGAGATTCTGATCTCCCAATATCGTGTACGCTGTCTGTGCAATCCTGGAATTTAAAGTACTTGTCAATATTGTATTTCAGGGTTAAATCTGGCCCATATTTCATACCAATGTTTGTCTATTTGTCTGTATAGTTGAGATCATCGCAGGAGGTATCCTACATGTCAACAGCTGCTCGTTTCTTTCCATAACACTGTTCCTTAATACATTTACTGTTTCCAGCTCCATAATGTTGACCCCGTGCCAATGCTCTTGCCATTGATTTTTTTTTTCGTGATCATCACTGGTCTCATATATCTTATCTCCTCGCCGGTGTAGATTATTGAAGTCTTTTCCTGTTTGTGATAGGCTGTCAATATAGGAGGGTGAGAAACGTGAACCACAGGTGTGTGTCAGCAGACTGATATCATATCTCACCACCATCTGGTTTCCATCCGCACGGGTCGCACCACACATCATCATCATCATCATCACCATTGTCTTTCTCACCCTGCAACAGGGTATAGGCCACGGACAAACACCTTCCACCTTTCTCTATCCTGGGCTAGCCTCTTGATGTTTTTCCATGTCTTCCCACTTTTCTGTACATCCTTTTGGCTTTGTCCGCTGTCCTTCTTTGTTCCTGCTGACGCAGAAGCTCCTCCGTCTCCCAAGATCGAAAAATAAAAAGCTGTGTTTGTCCGTGTTTCTGTAACTTACTGGTTTTTACTGGGTTGGGTAGTTCGCCCTCCGCAAACTGGCACTTTTCGGGCGACGAGACCTTTGCACTTTTAGTCGCCTCTTACGACACGCAGTATCACGGCAGGTATTCTTTGCTCCCCCATAGTAAAACTATGGGGCCATAGTAAAACTATGCCCTCCCCCCCCCCCCCCCCACACACACACACGGTCAACAATAATTAAAGGCGCCCTCTCTGTGGGATGGGGGGCCTAGTTTTACTGTAGGTCCTACACTAGGTCACAGGTGGAAGAGAATATGGAAGAAGTGGGTTAGAATGAAGGAGAAGGGAGGTACACCAAAGAAGGAATACATGTAGCACATAGATCCTGGAGGGTTGGATCCACCTCCTGTAGACGGGTATGGGCCTACTGGTACATGAAGGCCTATACCCTATACCTGAATTAAGTCAAGATCCTGTCAAGATAATGGATTTTGAAATGTAGACATAATATTATGGGGCTCTCGTGGCTTGAGATTAAAGTGTTCGCCTTTCATTTAAAAGGTCCCGGGTTCGAACCCGGAAAGTCTTCTTATATAATTTTTTTTCTCCTTTCACATCCTTTCCTGCTCTCTAACAATGTTCTGTCGTCTGCATTCGTCTCCCGTTTCTGCACCCACCCCGTCACAGTCTCATTTGCCCCTCCGCTGGACATCTGACTCTTTCTACTGTTACGCCTTGGCTCCTTATTCTTACTGCTGTCTTTCAGCCACACCCCCGATCTTCTGGCAGGAATAAAGAGCTACACCTATCCTTCTTGGACAAGGATAAAAAATCTAGGAGGTCCCGTATGCAAGTTGCGCACGCTAAAGATCCACTGGTGGTCCAAAATCGATAAGAGTAGGCTCCGGGCACAATTCAAAATTTCTACCCAGCGGAAAATGTTTAATGTGTCCAGCACGCTCATATGACCCTATGCAGTTGAGAGCGCCGTAAAACACTGAAAAGACATATTACGAGGTGTGTCTCAGAATAAAGTTTCCCTGTCATGCTGTCCACACATATAATTATAAATCACCTTGTATTTGGTATCAACTGAAAGCTTATTCAAATACCTATTCAATGTAGGAACCATCAAGTTCAAGACATTTCTCCGTTTGATGTACCCAGCGGTCAAAGACAGGGGTCTGTGATCGTTTGTCCAAGGTCCCGAGCGCTTTTCTCATAGCCTCTTGAATCTGGTCCTCGTCCTCAAATCTCCGACCTCGCAGTATTTCTTTCTCCTTGGGGAAGAGGTGGAAGTTGCATGGGGCGAGATCGGGCGAATAGGTCGGGTGTTCCAATAATTCCTACAAGTAGCTCTCGAGAAGCTCGTTCACAACTCTGGACTTGTGAACAAGCGTGTTGTCATGATGCAGAACGACGCCTTCTTCAAGCAAAGCGGCTCTTTTTTCTAGATCGCAGGTCTCAGATTGTCTTTGAGGACGAACCTGTAGTAGTCACCATTGACAGTAACGCCAGGTGTGACTAGCCAGCTCAGCATGAAGCCACTCATGTCGAAAAAAACAACAATGTGCATCACCTTTCTCTCTCCGTGCTTTCTGTGTGCGCTTCATCTTTCATGTCAGATCTCCCACATTCAACTTCCCTAATCCATTTCCTCACAGTTTGAATTTGATGTGGCATTATTTATTCCCTATTAGTTTGTATAGATCACCTTGGGTTTCAACTGCAGACTTGCCGAGAAGAATTGAAAATTTGATCCCAACTCAGACATCGTAAAACGAGAAGGTTGCACCAGTGTTTCGCTAAGCCATTTTCCTCTGATTTGCCTTGGACAAAGTGCAGTAGTACACCACACTTGACACGTCACAGTTCTATGACCCGTTCACCAATGCACTTGCAATTTGGCTTTGAGATTTCTAAGACATGATGTCATGACGTCGCAAGCTTTAGTGGCTGTTGGTCGAGTACTTTTGATTTTATGGAGGAGGGAAACTTTATTCTGAGACAGACCTCGTATCATTATCGAGCTCAGCCTCCACTTTAACTATTTCATCGCAAAAGAACCCTCGATCAAAAGCCTTAATTTCCAACATAGCAGGCATGTATTAGTCAACACCATATATCCCCATTAGTCTCCCCCCTCTCTCTCTCTCTCTCTCTCCCTCTCCCCCCCCCCCCTCTCTCTCTCTCTCTCTCTCTCTCTCTCTCTCTCTCTCTCTCTCTCTCTCTCTCTCCCTCCCCCTCTCTCTTTTCTTACCGACTGTTTTACCAAAGTGCGGGTTTTCTTTAGATTCTATACTTTTTTGAGTAACTCCACTATTTTTCAACTAATCTTCATGAAATTTACATAGAAAGAAGAGAAGATGTAGTAACAGTCAGTAATTACTATAATTTTAAAATCGTCTGTAGAATTATCACTATAATTATGTAACATCCTTTTGCTGGTGGTGTCTGGAGCGGATGGACTTTCAACTGACTTTTCTTGATTCAATTCCTCTTCAAAAATTCCATTAATTCAAACAAAATTCGTTTACGAAAATTCAACAGACCATTATAATTTTATGGAACCATTTTTGATAAGATAACAGGCAAAAGTAACGATACCTATAGGGCCTAAATATATATAGTGCGGTAAAAAAAAATTCGTGGCGCAATATTATTATGTCAAATATTTCCTTTAACATAATAATATGGGTTCTTAACTTTTGCACAATGACTTGTATAGTCTATCAATTTGTCATTACAGATCAATGTTTTTGCAAATACCTGCTGTATTGATGTATGTAGAAATGATTTCTAACATCCAAGTGCGAGGGGTTACATTTCCTTTTTTAAAAACTTAAACAGATTTTAAAAGGTTTATTACAGCTGGGATTGCTATGAATGGCAAGTCAGTCATTCCCCCCCCCCCCCCCCTTTTTTTTTTTATTGTGACACTATCTTTATTGAATGCATGTTTTGAGAACCTAATACAAAAAATTAATGTGTTCAAAATAAAGTTAATTTCTTGTAACTATTAGTTTTGCCACTAAAAAGTGTCACTGGTGTGCTGTGACATCCATGCATGTGCAAACTATGTGCGTTAGAAGCGGGAAGTGCTGTGAACAATCCCATTTTCAGCGTGACGGAAATTTATTATAATTTATAATAATATACTCACATTTTTAAGTATACAAATTTTGTAGCTCAATAAAACAAAATCTACGCAACCAATTACTTTCAAATTTACACACTGATTACATACCAGTCGCTGGTGGGCTGTTTTCAGATTTCTGAACGCGCGAGTGGTTTTGTAATAGCATGCGTGTTGCATGTATAGTGGGTTTTTTTAGAATTACTCATGATACGGCAATGATTTGTTTAAAAAAAGAAGCACACTTCAAAGTTTTGTCATTTTTGTAACAATTCGCCAGGGATAAAACTTGTTTTGTCTGCGTTTCATGATGTCACGCCCTAAGAGAAAATGTGTGAAGTCAGCTTGTTGGAATGATCCGCGGGGGTGCCATAGTATCCACTGTTGCGAGACATTTTAATGTAACACGAAGAACTGTGTCCTCATTAATGGATGGTGAGAAAACAACAAAATCAGGAAAGAATCGACACCGCCAACGTGGGAGAGAAAAAAAACTACTCCAAGAGAGGATCTTTTTATACGCCTTTCAAAACGGCAAGACAAACCAGAGGTGAGTTGAACTACATGCGACAACCTCAGCCTCAGACATTTTCTCAACTTGAGAGAGCGTCGCATGAAGAGTGGAATAACATCCCGCAACAGGCAGTGCAGCGATTGATTGATTCAAGGCGGCGACGATGTCAGGCCGTCATCAACCCTACTGATCGTGTTACTTTTGTAGACCGCCCCCACACTGGTGTAAGTCATGAATAAACCTGTTATGTTAACATTCCGTATTGTTGTTGCTTTTTTCGTACTTATTTAATTGAATTCGTGTTCCTGAAATTTTAAAGAATATCGACTCGCATTGTGAAACTAGCTATTTTCATTTTAACACAGTGTATACTTAAAAATGTGACAGAGTATAGTTCGTAATTTATATAAATTTATGAAATTTTTAAAAAAAATCTAGCCTTTAATGTTGTGAAAAAATGTGATTAAGTTAAGACAAATTTATCCAATAAACTGCTGTTCAAAGTATAGGTGATGGTGATATTGATTCACCCGTTAAAGAGACATTTGAGGATAAGTTGTGCCACGAATTTTTGACCACACAAGAGGATTTTGTTGCCTATATTGAAAATAATCGAGGTATTAACTGTACAAGATACGTCAACAAAATCCAGCATGGTCGCTGTCTCCATGGCAACGAAACTTTTTTTCTTCTAAAATTTGATTGCAGCCCCCCACCCCTGAAAACCTTGGCTAGGCCTTCTTTTATGTCCAATGGGTATTTCCAATAATGCTATTTCCGACCCGGAAGTACTTGGACCACACTAGCCTATCGTCGAATTGGGAAACAAATTCGGCGGGAGATCTCACTTTTTCTGATGTTTCTTCGTTGTCTGCTGCCGTTGCCGCCACCTCTTCGTGATCTATCAAGGCTCAACGTTCTTTGGAGAAAACCAAGCTGCTGGGGCGTCCACGTTTGTGATCTACGTAAAGCTCAATATTTGCATTCTTTTCCCTCCAGACGCTACTCAAGTTCAGGAAACATGCCGAGTGAACAAATCACCTTGCAGTTTGCAAAAATGACAAACCAAGCCACAACTCCAACGAGGGGTTCCGCCTTGGCTGCTGGCTACGATTTGTACAGGTGGGCGTAGATCAAGATGCTAGATCTCTAGAATCTTACCTCTACTCAAAATAATTAGAAAACTCACTTAAAGTTTAAGTTTTTAAAATATATAGATCTAGTATAGATCTAGATCTAGACTATGGTCGGTATTATTTTCGCAGTGGCCACGTTCACGGCACCCTGAATGCAGTTTGCAGGCGCTGTTGAGACTACGTTTACGGCACGGCACTAAACTCTAAAGCTTCGTTTAGGGGGAGCATCCGGTTTTTAATTCAGCCGGTTTTAGTCAGTGACGACAGCGACGTATTTAATATTGGCCGGTGCTACTCATCCGATGTCTGGTGACTAGCGGCAGGTTACTCGCCCGATGTCGGGTAGCTAACGCCAGGCTACTCGCCCGGTCGGGTGACTGGCTTAAGGCTAGCGTCAGGCTACTCACCCAATCTAGGGTGGCTAGCGACTCAAAAAGATCCGCTTCCACCGACATCAGACCCGCTAAACCTATTTTTAGCCCCAATGTCTTTTACAAGGGCCTAGATTCTATATAGATCTATGTATGTGGGTCAAAATATTGAAAAGGGTCCACAATTAAGTATGCGGCAAGTGGTAATATAGATCTAGATCTAGGCGATTGTCAAGATTTCCGCGTTTAATTCCGATGTGCGTTTTTCATAGCCTCAGGTATGTTTCGCTTTGGTCCCTAACCCTGGTCAGGGTTAGGGTCAGGGTCAGGGTTAGGGTTAGGGATCAAAGCGAAACATACCTGAGGCTATGAAAAACGCACATCGGAATTAAAAGCGAAAATCTTGACAATCGCCTAGATCTAGATCTAGCCTACTACAGATTTTCTAGGTCAACTAGATATTAGATTCTAGATCTAGATCTAGATCTAGATCTAGATCTACAGATTTTGGGACAAAAATTTGTGTCAACAACAGATTTTGCCCCAGGCTATTTTGGCTGGTATGACAACTTTTGGTGAGTCAACTAGATTCTAGATCTAGATCTGTAGATCTACTGAATTCCACATATCGGAAATAGACCATCTAATCTAGATCTAGATTTAGATATAGTGCTCCGAGTTTCTGCTGTCAAAAAGTTTAACGAGTGCTTCCCATGACAGAAAAGAAGGCAGAGTAGATCTAGATCTAGATCTAGATCTAGATCTAGGATTTTAGAAAAATGTGCAAAAAGCAGAACCCCTCCCCCCCCAAAAAAAATATTTTTTTTTTTAAATATTGGGGACACACATGATCAAAATCGAGTAAATGGGGATGCTTGAGATTTATGGCAGGGATGAGTGGCAGGTTTGGAAAATAAACTGATTTATTATTTTTCACTCTTTTTGTCTCTCTCTCTGCCCGTACTCTGTCCTTCTTGCTCCCCCCCTATATTTTTTTCTCTGTCTCTGTCTCTCTCTCCCTCTCCCTCTCCCCACAACAGCGTCTCTATTTTATAAGGTATAATAAGTACCCATTTCGTCTATTTGCCCCCCCCCCCCCCCCTCTCTCTCTCTCTCTCTCTCTCTCTCTCACACACACACACACGCACACTGCCCACAGACAAAATTGCACGCTTTCAATTCTAGGGCGCTGGAACGTTTGTTTACACTCGTATATCACGGGCCGTCACTTGTTAACACATGGTCGCTCCCAAGTCTCGCCCGGACGCGAGATAGGATCTGATAGGGCAATTGAAACATCTTGGTAGGTGTATACATTTTTGTCTTATAATTATATCCTAATGCATTGTTGCGTCATTGAGAGTTCGTCGTTTGCCCACACTGGCGAACTCTGAGCCAGAGCTCTGTGTAAGGGAAAACTATGAATGGTCGATCGGTCAAGGATCACTGCTTCGTTTTCCCTCATCTCATGGGATGGAATACTTGAAGCAGGCCAAACTATTAAATATACATGTGTACGTCACTGTCGTCACTGACTAAAACTGGTTTACTTAAATTTAAATACCAACAGTGGACACTCCGTTTAAACGAAGCTTAGTGCCGTGAATGTAGCCTCACCAGCTCCTGCCAACTATGCTCACGGCGCCGTGAACGTAGTCACTGGGTATTATTTTAGTTTCACTCAAACTGGGAGGCTCTCGTGGTAAGATCTTGATCTATGTTTTTGGAGACAAGCGCAGTGCTGATAATTTTCTGCGGATTTCCGCTTTTTTTGTTGTTTCCAAAATATTACTACCAGTGCTTCCACTCTTTTGTATTTTTACAGAAATCCGTACTTCAGACCTGCCACTCATCCCGATTTAATCAGGATATCGCGATTTTTTGCCCCAAATCTCAAGCATCCCGATTTGCCCGATTTCGATCGCCAGTATCCTGATTTTTTGTCGTTGCGTCCGATGATTCTTAGAAAAATAATACAAAGTTGTGCAATCTCTTTTGCTTGGGAGAACCGATTAGAGTTTTCATCGACAGGAACTTGGAACGCTACTTTCTGAAGCATCTATGCCGAATCTAGTAGATGACTCACGCACGTTATTTCAACTAAAACCGACGTAGTATCGATTTTGAATTCCGACATGGATACGCTCAAGATGTACTTTCGCTTTTAGGGAGCGGGTAGGGTTATTGTTTTGACACTTGGGCTTAAAGTGCGTACCGTGATACAAGTAGAACCTACTAATTGAGGATAGAGGAATAAGAAAAAAGAAAGAAATGAACAACCTTGGTGCGATCTTTTTTTCAGGGGGGTGTGTGCCTTAAGTGTATTTGCGATGGAAGTCAAACGTTGTTACTGTATGAAAACGCGGGCTTTTTGCGTGGATGATTACAGTTATGTGTCAGCTATTTTCAAGACTACGAGAGTTTCAGCTGTACTGCAACCTGCGCTCCCCCACTCTATCCCACTCCGACTCGAGTAATGCAGTCTTTCAGTTTTCCCTCTATTTAGTGGCCCAAACGTGAACTTATTCCTGCAAAACTTTTCAAGTTTTCTCTTGCATACTTTCCTCATAAAAAGGAACCAGGATCCCTCTTCCCCAGTACACCTTGTGACTGATTTGCCGTTGATCCCGATTTTTTTCACCAGATCCTGATTTTTTTACTCTAACATCCTGATTTTTAGATTTCATAGTCATAGAGTGGCAGGTCTGCGTACTTTCTGCCAGTTCCGTACTTGTTCCTCTATCATTATCAACTCTCCATAAAAAAACTGCGACCGCGTAGGACTGTCGACATTCCGTAGCAAAAGATCCGTCTTCGCCTTCGTATCGTCTTGTATAAGTTAGGGATATTTACAGTAATTCTCTCGGCAACAAGTTAATGTTATATAAACCTTCCAGATTGCGGATTTCCTGCAATTGGCCATTATTCCGCTATGCCCCGTGCATTCATTATTTGTCCCAATTTCCTCCTTTCTATCATTCTCTCATTCCTTGTGTCTATCTTCCGATTGTTGCCGCGGCTGGAAAATCTGCGGGTTGATCAAGTAAATTGACTTGTGATCTTAGACAGAAAATTACTGTTAGAAAGAAACTTGTTTTTGCAAATTTGACTAGATCTAGAGAAATTATCAATGCGAAGATTCTACGGTGCGTGAACGCGATATAAGGGCCGCGGTGAAAGAAATAGATCTAGATCTATGCTAAGACTACTAAAATCAAGAATAATTCGAAGTGGTATTCCGAGGTTGTGACAGACGACATTTCGATGTGAAAATTGAGGAAAAATTAGGGTATACGCTGGGCGACTGAAGGTAGATATCTATTCATTATTCCCAGGTTTGCCTTCTAGCAATGGAAAGAGAACCTGCTTTTAAACATTGCCAGCAACAGAAAGATATGTAGGTGAAAAAATCAGGCAAGACAAAATGTTGGTGAAAAAATAAATGTTATAATTATGGTAATCTCGTCAAACAAGCTCCTAAATGCCATTTTGAACCCTGTAAAAGCACTAAATTTCTATTTCTTAGGGGGCTTCGCCCCCTGAACCCCCACCGGGACGCTGTCCCTGGACCCCTTACTTTTCAGCTTCAGCTGGTGGAAGCACTGTACTACAAAATTTACGTTTATGTGTTATATTATTGTAGTTAGTATACAGTTCTAAGTTAAAAATTTCGGGATTGCAACGGGGGCGGAATATTTTCCTCTTTTTTTGACTTTTTCTCGTTATCAGCACTGCCAAGTGGATAGTTAAAGTTTACTAGATCCTAGATCTAGATCTAGTTTGCTATACGCACGCAATTGTAATTATGTGTACAGTCAGACCTGTATAAAACGGCCACCCATTGTCAAGGGGAAAAGTGGCCGCATAACACAGGTGACAGTCTTAGCCGTTAGGCGGGACTGATCAACATGAAGAAAACAAAATTTTTTAATCATTCTCTTCTGGGTCCAAACTGGGGCTGAACTCAGGGCACTCCTGTAGAATTGCGGTACCGTTTGGGGATATTAGTTTTGACCCCCACCAGATGATTACTTCTGGTTCTAAACGATGCCATAATAGGGAGAGATAGCCTCAAACCTAATTGCAAAACATTAAATTATGGTCAAAATAGCCCATCTCTTGCTCTCTTTCAGATAAAACATCGAATATTTGAGTCAGTAGCCTATAAGACGGCCACCCGTACAAACGGCCACTTTCCATTTCCCCCCTTGCGTTTTTTCTATATAATTTAACTGTAAAACGGCCACCTGTCCAACGCGGCCGCGGCCACCATATTTCAACACACAACCCCTATCGCACTAAGCAATAACACCTGTCTAAGACGACCACATTAGTGACTCCATTACGTTTTGTCAAAAATTGTGATTTGGCCCCTGGCGTTGTGGGGGAGCCGTCATAATCCTATCACTTGTCGTTGTTGTTAGGTAGTCCCTCCAACCGATCATGTTGCGTAGGCCCCTCCCTCTGTTGACCAATAGGTAGGCTACCAATTTTCAGCTGCTGGTGAGGTTAGCGTGTGATCCCTCATTACCCATTAGCCCCGTCTAGAACTCATACGCAAATCGTAAGTGAGATGAGTGGTCACTGTTTACCCAGTCTGTAACAAAGTAACAAA